TATATATATATATATATATATATATATGTGTGTGTGTGTGTGTGTGTATAAACGTGTTTTAAACCCTTCCCACACTCTTGCAATATTGCAATATTCTAAACAATGTTTTGAAACTCTAAACGCTCTAAAAGAGCACAGAATGTCATGATTTCAGCTCTCTGCCTCATCTCTGCCACGCTGCTCTCTGCCACCTGCCAGCGCTCTCGACCACGCCCTCTTCTCCCCTGCAGAACGGAGATCAACAGAGGAGGAAGGAGGAGGGAGGAGGAGAGAGTGTTGCAGAGAGTGGTGAAGGCTGCACAGAAGACTGCTGGAGTCAGCCTCCCCACCATCACAGACATCTACATCTCCAGATGCAGGAAGAGAGCCACCTGCATCATGTAGGATCCCACTCACCCAGCACACACACTTTTTGCTCCGCTCCCCTCAGGCAGGAGGTTAAGGAGCATTAAGTGTAGAACCACTAGACTGAGGAACAGCTTCTACCCTGAGGCTGTTAGACTCATGAGTCTCTAACCAGAATAATCACTGTAATGCCACTTGATTGTTGATATGTGCTGCTGATTGTCCATGCTGCAGATCTCATGCTGCTGATGTATTTCATGTTGCTGTATTCATTCATACTCATCTGCTCACAGTCTCATGTTTGTGCTGCTGTTTGGTGTATTGTTTTTATACTACCAGTGCTTAGCATATTTTTAGTTTAACGTTTTTCTTAGTTAATATCTTAGATCTTATTTATGTTTTTCTTTACAATTTATACTTTTGTTTGTTGTAACTGGGACCCTGTGTACACAATTTAGTTCCACCACATGTACCACATGTGGTGTGTATGACAATTAAAGAAACTTTGACGTTGACTTAAAGCAATCAACGGGCTGTGTAGAGAATTGAAAAATAAATTTTCTTTATGTCAGATTATCTAGAAGATATTTTTTCTTATTGCAGCATAGTTAGCATGTTTTAGAAAACAAGTCTTTCGAAAATCCTTTAGGATTATAAGACATTCTGTAAAATAACTCTTGTGACAATATATTACACATGTTAACTGAACATGTTAAACATTAACATGCTAGCAAGTATAACATGTTAACATATAACATGTTAACATATAACATGTTAACATATAACATGTTAACATATAACATGTTAACATATAACATGTTAATGTATAACATGTTAAGCTAACATGTATAACATGTTAGCTTAACCTGTTATACATGTTAGTGGAAATATGCAAAATAAACTTATATGTTTGTTTCTAAGTCTATAAGGTTCAGTCTAGTTCTAGAAACACAAATTAATTTTTTTTTTTTTTAAGTTTTGTTTAAGATGTTGAACTTAAATTTTCTTAAGTCTCACTGATAAATTGCTGCATTTTTAAATCAATCTTTATTTAAAAAGTAAAAAAAAAAAAAAAAAAACTAAGGATATTGGGGGCCTGATGGAGATTGTCCAAGGGCCACTTTTGGCCTTGGGGCCTTAAGTTGCCCACGTTTGCCTTAGACTGATCCAAAAAGTTATGTCAAAATAGCACAACTTTAAAAAAAATCAACTTAGTTGACATTTTGTAATTTTAGTTGTAGATGTTCCTCTTTGTTGATGCATTTAAACACGTCACACGTGTTAGTCTCCAAACCCTCTGCCTCAGCTTCCTTGTCCTCATGACTCCTCCTCAACCCAGTATTTGATCCTTTGTCTCCCCTTTCTTCTTACCATGGGTGGGTTGAGACTCCTCCATGTATGTGGTGGTTTTCTCGGGGTCATCGCTGGTCCTGGGACACACAAAAACACTGATTAATGCTGTGAAGCCTGTCGTTTGGCTGATGTTTTAGAGCTGACAATGAGGCCTGTACATATGCACTCACATCTTACTGGTCTAAGTTAAAATATATAAGAAAGTAACAGTAATGTGATAGATGATTTTTCACATTCAGAATAATTTCTTCCTGTTTGAACGTCTTTATTAGCAGCCTCTTAAATAATCCCATGCAGAGGATTTGCTTGATGAGACAGAATAAAGGAAGTGAAAGCTCTTCCCAGCCCTTTCTCTCCATCTTATTCCTTTGTGCCAAGCTGTGAGCGTGTCTGTGCTTGTGTGTGTATCTCTGTGCCTGTGTGGGTGTGAAGTGACTGGAGAGACATCTCCATCCACCCAGATCTGTGCTTTTCTTTGCCTTTCATTTCCTCTGTGGCTCCTGTTCTAACACACACATTTTGTGAGTGTGCTCGTGTGTGTTGCTGGGTTGAGACACAACATTAATCAGCGCCGATGGCTGCTATGAAATCTCATTACACTCATCATTTGTACCGGTCGACCCGATTCTCCTTTTCACGCCTCAGCTTTGCTGGTCTCTGTTCATCAGTGTGTTTGAGCGGTGGTGCGTGTGCTGCTGCTGAGAGGGACACAAGTATCTTGGAGGGTCAGCCATTTTAGCGTGAATAAACACGGATGATTCACAAATAAATGGCCATGAATGCTGAAAGGTGTTTTCATAACAGCCCCACAGGCGGTCCTGACATTCTAACAGCAGCTATGTAGAATGAGGAGGTGTTGCCATGCTTCAGTATTCCTACATGACTGGTTTTCTGCCGTACTTGCAGTCCAGCTTGTTCAGAGCTAAAATGCTAAATTTCTGGATAAAGGAGTCATTTTGATTCGCTGTTAGATTCATTTGCAATTGCAATGAGCTTCATTTATTATACATACTGCTTATAAGTACTGTTTTTTTCCCCTCTTTAAAAAGCAGCTGAGCAGCAGCAGTCGTTTTCACCACAATGTGAAGTATTATAACACTAAACACCTGTGCTTTTGGATCTACAGTATAATCTGCACTTCTTGCTGGAAGGGGAAGCAAAAATGTGTAGGAGTGCTGCAGAATGAAGTTCAACCGAGTTTTCAAGGGTGCAGAATTTGGTGTTTTATTGTTTTGGATTGAATCAGGGAAGATTTAGAGAAGGCGACAACATAAAATATCATAATGAAAATCAATACAAACTCCCATTCTGCAGCCTCGAAACCAGCGGACTTCAATCAGCCCCCGCTGACAAACAGGGTCAACAAACGTGTGAGCACCGCAGGCATTATAAGGTTATCATTTATTACAGCCCCCTTGTTATTAGATTATACAGCTGCTGCTTTTATTACATCCTCTCCTTTTATCAGTGCTGACTGTCGGTCTTGTATCTTTTCACAAGCTCGTATAACTCCACATCTTGAGCAAACTGGGAAGAGAAAAGACTGGAAAAACAACGAAGGAGCAAAATCTACAACATTTTTTTTTTATTTTAACTTTCACCTGGGACAGAATTGCCCTCCTCGACAGCAACGACGGCAAGCGATGAGGAAGACAGAGATGGAGATCAGAGTTCCTACCAGAAGGACGGACAGGACCACCAGAAGGAGCACGAAGCCATCTTGGTGCTCCTCAGCCTCGAGTGGGATCTCCTGGGGGGACAAACACACCCCATACCAGAATTATTCATAAAGTTTGGCCTTTTTAAGCAAATAACTGTCACTAAAAAAATAGCATTTCAGCATGTTTTTAGCTAATTTCAGCCGTTTTATTTTTTTAGCAAATTCTTCAGCAAAAAAATCATTCACACCACATTTTCTCAGGAAATTCAATTCATTTTGTGGCTTTTAGAAGGAGCAAATGCACATATTACCCCCCCCCCCCCACACACACACACACACACACACACACCGTACATGGGCGGATCTGCAGTGGAAGTGGTCTCCAGCTACAAGTACTTGGGTGTACACATGAATGACAACCTCAGCTGGAGCAACAACACCACCAGCCTGATCAAGAAAGCTCATCAGAGACTCTACTTCCTCAGACGGCTGAGATGAGCTGGTCTGGGAAGCTCAGTCCTCACCTCCTTCTACAGGTGTGCAGTGGAGAGCATCCTGTGCTCCAGCATCAACGTGTGGCATGGAGGCTACACAGCTGCAGAAAGAAAAGCTTTGCAGAGAGTGGTGAAGGCTGCACAGAAGATGTTGGAGTCAGTCTCTCCACCATCACAGACATCTACACCTCCAGATGCAGGAAGAGAGCCACCTGCATCATGAAGGACCCCACTCACCCAGCACACACACACTTTTTGCCCCACTCCCCTCAGGCAGGAGGTTAAGGAGCATTAAGTGTAGAACCACTAGACTGAGGAACAGCTTCTACCCTGAGGCTGTTAGACTCATGAATCTCTAACCAGGAAAATCACTGTAATGCCACTTTAATTGGTGATATGTGACTTATCTGTGCTGCTGATTTATTGCTTTTATGCTGCTATAACCACACCCATCTGCTCACTACAAGCTCATGTTCGGGCTGTTGTTTAATACATAGTATTATTTTACATCATTAGTATTTAGCGTATATCTTATATCCTTGTATACCACTTCTTTTTATACTTTATATTTTTGCTATTTTTGGATGTAACTGGGACCTCGAGTGAACAATTTCGTTCCACCTCACGTACCGCATGTGATGTTAATGACAATAAAGAACCTTGAACCTTGTTTAACATTTGAGGTAAGGCTTTTACCCCTCCTAGAAAAATAATTGAACATTAACAAACAAAATCTGAAAAATAAAATAAAAAAGAAACTGTGCAGATGACCTGACTGAACATTGTTGGAGATCTGAAGCAGAGTTTAGTACTTCCTGGAATGAATCATCTTGCCAGCTTAGTCTCTTATTTCACGGTTTTTGTTCAGCATGCAAAAACCATTGAGCACTACAAATTTTTGGGGTGGATGCTACTTCCATTCTCTCATTTTTTTAATGTTTAATTTATTCATTTTTGTTGTCTGCAGATAGTTTTAAACAGCTGATAATTGTGGCTCTGCCAAGTAAAGTAAGCCATTGTGTGTCTGAGGTGTGTTTAGGATCACTGTTCTCCTGTAGATGCTGTCCTCTTAGCATCGTCTGCTGGTTTAAATGTGTGGTTTTCAGAGTTTACAGGCAATTTTATTTAATGAAATCATCCATTTAGGAGTGAGGTGGTGCATGACTCACTGACTGCCAACACAGAGTCAAGGTGACGCACCTCTGTATGAAGAAGAGGTATTTTTTTATCCCCGGTCACTCTAAAAGTTATGTAACCATCTGTATCTGTGAGTTAATTTGTTTGTCTGCCTGTCTGTTAGCAAAATACATCGCTAACCACTAGAAGATTTTAATGAAACTCATACAACTCAATGCAAAACTACAATCATGAACTTTGGAAGTTAATCAGTTTTACAGATATGTACCTAACATTTGGTGCAGTAGTAGCTGAGGTTATTCCCAACAAAAATCTACCAACAGATCACATGAAGTCTTTGTTTATAACTCTGGTATGCAATGCAGCGAGCAGTATGCATTTCTTTAAGGAATGCTATAGTTGGGGTGTGCTTGCCGCAAATCCACCTTGAGTTGTTACACACTAATCCTGCTGAAGATATTTTTCAGTCAAAAACAAACAAACAATCCTTTATATAGAACTTTCTGAATGAATATTGTTGGCCTTATACAAACTAAAATTACAGTCAATAAAAAATGTAAAAATAAAAAACCCGAAGCTGGACAACTTGTTAATCTTACATTTTGGATGGTATCAGCTATTTTAATTTTAGAAAGCTAGGCAGATGCTGAGAGGTACTGCAGATTGTTGGGAGAA